TTACGGTGCCGGCAGGATGACCACCGTTACCGCGGCTGTGTCTTGGGGGTACTGCTGTGGCCACGGCGTGTTTTGCTTGGGGTTGTGCCGCGGGTGTTTGGCTTTGCTTTGTTGTTTGTGCTTGCTTGGGGTTGTGCCGCCGGTGTTTGGCTTTGCTTTGGGCGTTGTTGCCGCCGGTGTTTGGCCTTTGCTGTGGGAGTTTTCTGGTCCGGGCTCGGGTGATTGAGTCTTTCCGGTTTTGGGGTTGTGCCTGGGTCTGTTAGTATAATCGGATGTGGCAGGTTGAATTGATATAAATTTAGCGGGAGGTGCATGATGTAGAAAGGCGCGAGTATGCATTCGTTCTTGGCACGGCCTTTGCTTGGGGTGGGTTGCGTAGTGCCGAATCGCGGTAGTTTGGGCTTTGCTTGGGGGTGTATCACGCCGAACGGTGTTATGTTGTTGTTGCCTTGGTGGGTTGTGCCGGACGTGTGTGTTGGCTTGCTTGGGGTGTGGCGCCGGTGTTGGCCTTGCTTGGGGTTGGCCGCGGTGTTTGGCTTTGCTTGGGTGTGCCGCGGGTGTTGCTTTGCTTGGGGTTGTTGCCGCGGTGTTTGGCTGTTTGTTGGGTGATTAGTGCCGCGGTGTTCTGCTACCTTTTGCACTTGGGTTGTGGTGGCCGCGGCACGGTGTTGTGTCTTTGCTGCGGTTGGATGCTGATTGACGTGTTAATTGGCTTTGCTTTGGATGTGCCGCCGGTTTTTGGCTTTGGACTTGGGTTGCCCACAGCGGTCTGGTGCCGCCGGTGTTTGGCTTTGCGTTGGGGTTGTGGCCGGACGGTGGTTTGATGCTTTTGCCTTGGGGTTTGTGCCGGACGGTGTTTGGCGTATTGCTTGGGGTTGGTGCGCCGGTGGTGTTTTGTTGATTTGTGGGGTTGTGCCAACGCGGGGCTCGGGTGTTTGGGCGTTTTTGGCTGGGGTGTGCCGACCGGTGTTTGGTCTATTTGCTTGGGGTTTGGTGCCCGAGGTGGTTTGGCTTTTGTTGGGTTTGTGCCGCCGGGTGTTTGGCTTTGCTTTGGGTGTGCTCGCCGGTGTTTGAGGCTTTGGGCTTGGGGGATTGTGCCGGCGGTGTTTTGGCTTTGGCTTGGGTGTGCGATCGGGTGTTTGGTTTGCTTGGGGTTGCCGCGGTGTTTATTGGCTTTGCTTTGGGGTTGTGCCGCCGGTGGTTTGGCGTAATTGCCTTGGGGTTGTACCAGCCGGTGTTTGGCTTATGCTGGGGTTCGATGCCGGTCGTGTTTGGTTTGCTTTGGGTTGTGGCCGGCGTGTTTGTGGCTTTGCTTGGGGTTTGTGCGCGGTGTTTGGCTTGTTGCTTGGGGTTTGCGCGCTGGGTTTTATGGCTTTGCTTGGGTTGTGCGCCGTATTTGGCTTTGCTTGGGGTTGTCGCGTGTTTGGCTTTGGCTTGGGGTTGTTCCGGCCCGGTGTTTTGGGCTTTGTGTTGGGGTTGTGCCGGCACGGTGTTTGGCTTTGCTTGGGGGTTGTGCCGGCCGGTGTTGGCTTTGCGTTGGGGTTGTGCGACGGTTGTTTGGCGATTGCTTGGGGTTCGATTTGATCCGCCGGTGTTTGGCAGTTTTGGCTTGGGAGTATGGTGCCAGGTCACCGGGGTTGTTGGCTTTGTGCTGGGTTTGTGCCCGCGTGTTTTGTTTTGCTTGGGGTGCCGCCGGTATTTGGCTTTGCTTGGGTTGGTGCCGCGGGTGTTTGGCCTTTGCTTGGGGTTGTCCGTTACGGTGTTTGGCTTTGTTTGGGTGTTGTGCCAGGCGGTGTTTGGCTTGGCTTGGGGTTTGTGGCCGCCGGTTGTTGGCTTTGCTTAGGGGTGGGCCGCCGGTGTTTGGCTTTGCTTTGGGGTTGTGCCGCCGTGTTCTGTGCTTTGGCTTGGGGGTGTGCGCCGGCTGGTATTTGGCTTTGCTTGAGTTGCTGCCGCCGGTATCTCTGGCTTTCTTGGGGGTTTGTGCCGGCGGATGTTCTTGGCGTTTGCTGTGGGCGTTGTGCGGCGCCGGTGTTTGGCTGTCTGCTAGCGTGGTTGTGCAGCGTGTGTTTTGGCTATTGGCTGGTTGGGTTGTAGCCTGCCGGGTGTTTGGGCTTTTGCTTGGGTTGTGCCGCCGGTGATATTGGCTTTGCTTGGGGTTGTTGGCCGACGTGTTTGGCTTGCGCTTGGGTTGTGCCGACCGGGCGGTGTTTTGGCTTTGCTTGGGGTTGTGCCGCCGGTGTTTGGACTGTTGCTTGGGGTTGTGCCGCGCCGGTGTGTTGGCCTTTGCTTGGGGTGTGCGAGGTTGTTTGGCTTGCTTGGGGTTTGTGGCCGAGCCGGTGTTGGCGTGTTGCTTGGGGTTGTGCCGACGGTGATTTGGCTTTGTTTGGGGTTGTGCGCGGTGTGTGTTGGCTTTGCTTGGGTGTGCCGCGGTGTGCTTTGGCTGTGCTTGGGGTTGTGTGCGCCGACGGTGTTTGGCTTTGGCGTGGGGTTGTGCCGCCGGTGTTTGCTTTGCTTGGGGTTGTGCCGCGCGTTGTTTGGCCTTTGCTTGGGGTTGTGCCGACGGTATTTGTTTGCTTGGGGTTGTGCCAGCCCGGTTGTTGTGGCTTGTGCTTGGGTTGTGGCCGCCGGGTGTTATGGCTTTGCTTGGGGATTTGTGCCGGCCGGGTTGTTCTGGTCTTTTGCTTGGGGTTGTTGCCGCCGGTATTTGGCGTTTGCTTGGGGTTTGCTGCCGGCGGTATCTGGCTATTTGCTTGGGGTTGTGGCGACGCGTTTGGACTATTGCTTGGGGTTGTGCGCCGGTGTTTGTTTGCTTGGGTTGTGCCGCGGTGTTTGGACGCCGGTGTTTTGGCTTTGCTTGGGTGTGTGCCGGTGGCTTTGGCCTTTGGCTTGGGTTGGGATCCCGCGGGTTTGGCCGTTTGCTGGGGTTGTGCCGCGCCGGTGTTTGCGCTTTGCGCTTGGGGTGTGCGCGGTGTTGGCTTTTGCTTGGGGTTTGCCGCCGTGTTTGGCTTTGCTTGGGGTTGTGCGCCGGTATTTGAGGCTTTGCTTGGGGTTGTGCCGCCGGTGTTTGGCTTTGCTTGGGGTTGTGCCGCCGGTGTTTGGCTTTGCTTGGGTTGTGCCGGGTGTTTGGCTTGCTTGGGGTTTGTGCCGACGTGTTTGGCTTTGCTTGGGGTTGTGCCGCCGGTGTGTTGGCTTTGCTTGGGGTTGTGCCGACGGTGTTTGGCTTTGCTTTGCCGCCGGTGTTTGGCTTTGCTTGGGGTTGTCGCCGGTGTTTGGCTTTGCTTGGGTGTGTGCTTGACCGGTGTTGGCTTTGCTTGGGGTTTGTGCCGCACGGTTAATTTGGCTTGCTTGGGGTTGTGCCGCGGTGTTTGGCTTTTTTGCTTGGGGTTTGCGCGGTGTTTGGCTTTTGCTTGGGGTTGTGCCGCCGGTGTTTGGCTTTGCTTGGGGTTGTGCCGCCGGTGTTTGGCTTTGCTTGGGGTTGTGCCGCCGGTGTTTGGCTTTGCTTGGGGTTGTGCCGGCGGTGTTCTGGCTTTGCTTGGCAGGGTTGTGCCGCCGGGTGTTGGCTGGCTGGGGTTGTGCCGACGGTGTTTGGCTTTGCTTGGGGGTTGTGCGCCGGTGTTTGGCTTTGCTTGGGGTTGTGCCGACGGTGTTGGCTTTGCTTGGGGTTGTGCCGCCGGTGTTTGGCTTTGCTTGGGGTTTGTGCCGCCGGTGTTTTGGCTTGGCTTTGGGGTTGTGCCGCGGTGTTTGGTTTGCTTGGGGTTGTGCCGCCACGGTGTTTGGCTTTTGCTTTGGGTTGTGCGACCCCGGTGTTTGGCTTTGGCTTGGGGTTGCCGCCGGTGTTTGGCTTTTGCTTGGGGTTGTGTTTGCTTTGCTGGGGTTGTGCCGCCGGTATGTTTGGCTTTGCTTGGGGTTTGTTGCCGCGGTTTTTGGTTTTGCTTGGGTTGTGCGCCGGTGTTTTTTGCTTTGCTTGGGGTTGTGCCGCGGTGTGTTTTTTTGTTTTGCTTGGGGGTTGTGCCGCCGGTGTTTTTGTTTGCTTGGGGTTGTGCGCCGGTGTTTGGCTTTGCTTGGGTTGTGCCGCCGGTGTTTGGCTTTGTTTCTTGGGGTTGTGCCGCCGGTGGTTGCTTGGCTTTGCTTGGGGTTGTGCCGACGGTGTTTGGCTTTGCTTGGGTTGTGCCGCCGGTGTTTGGCTTTGCTTGGGGTTGTGCCGCGGTGTTTTGTGCTTTGCTGGGGTTGTTGGGTTTGCTTGGGGTTGTGCGCGGTGTTTTTTGCTTTGCTTGGGGTTGTTGCCGGTGTTTGGTTTGCCCTTGGGGTTAGTGCCGCTTTTGGGTTTGCTTGGGGTATGTGCCGGTGTTTGGCTTTGCTTGGGGTTGTACGTATTTGGCTTTGCTTGGGGTTGTGGCCGCCGGTGTTTTGGCTTTGCTTGGGGTTGTCCGCCGGTTGTTTGGCTTTGCTTGGGGTTGTGCCGGTTTTGGCTTTGCGTGGGTTGTGCCGCCTTGGCTTTTTGGCGGTGTTTGGCTTTGCTTGGGGTTGTGCCGCCGGTGTTTGGCTTTGCTTGGGGTTGTGCCGACGGTGTTTGGCTTTGCTTGGGGGTTGTGGCCGACGGTGTTTGGCTTTTGCTTGGGGTTGTGCCGCGGTGTTGGTTTGCTTGGGTTGTGCCGCGGTGTTTGGCTTTGCTTGGGGTTGTGCGCCGGTGTTTTGGCTTTGCTTGGGGTTGGTGCGCCGGTTTTGGCTTTGCTTGGGGTTTTGCCGCCGGTGTTTGGCTTTGCTTGGGGTTTGCCGCGTGTTTGGCTTGCTTGGGGGGTCCCGCCGGTGTTTGGCTTTGCTTGGGGTTGTGCCGCGGTGTTTGGCTTTTGCTTGGGGTTGTGCCGCCGGTTTGTTTTGCTTTGTTGGGGTTGTGCCGCCGGTGTTTGCTTTGCTTGGGTGTGCCGCGGTGTTGCTTTGTTGGGTTTGTGCCGCCGGTGTCTTGGGGTTGTGCCGCCGGTGTTTTTGGCTTTGCTTGGGGTTGT